ATTATTGCTCAAGGGAAGACTCAAATGAGGTATATGAGCCTAAACAATTATCTTCGTCTCGAGATACATCCCAACTGCTCTAACCTTTTTATTTTTGTTTTTTAAGATCTTGAGAACATCTTTGAATCCGATCCATTCTTGGTTGAGAGTTTCTTCTCTTTACATATGGGATTGGTTTTGGATGATAATCAGCTTTCTCAATACCTTTAGCTTTAGACTAAACTAATGCATTAAGATTCCTTTTTCTTTTCTTTTATCTAATTTCTTACAAGATATCATTCATTACTATATTATATAACACTACAATAATTTTATTGAAGATTGTAACAATAAATAAATAAAGGAAAACATAATATAACTCAATTATACTTTAATTGATAGGAAAGATTATTAGATAGACCAATTTAAGTATAGCTCAACTTGTGATAAGTGTTGAGATGACTAGAATCACTTTCGAATAACATAAATGAAGCTCTCTTCATTGATGGAAAGCTAACATTGATGGGATAGATGTCTTACATTTGATTTGACTTATTTGATTGAAACCAATCTTAATCTCATCTATCTCAATCGAATAAACTTCTTGAGTTTATGGGATGATTAGTTGTTGCTTTCGAAGCATCAGTGGAATACGAATTCTTAAAACAATGCACCGATGACTTAAAATGGTGTTATAATTTATAAATTTTTATTATGGGTCCGAGCCACAGTGTCGAGAGAATCAAGAACAGTAAAAAGGGGAAAGAAAGAGGCAAAACGTTGTCTTGTCTTGTAGGGGTCTTCATATTCTCTGGTAGAGATAGGTGAGAAGACAACCAATTGTGGAGGGCATTGGGGATTGTTCTTGTTTTGGACAAATAAGGTGTGTGTATTTGAATGGACAGAATCCCCCAATAATGAGTTCCATATACATGTATTTGAAGCACAAGGAAGGCAATTAGATATGAACATTCATACTATCTGAGCAACTTGAAAGAAGAACAAAGGGATAAGTTTGGGACATCATGATTATGAGATCATTCCCATTAAGCAAATTCTAGACATTGAATTGACTTGTAAAGCCACCATGCAACCCACTTCGTTCATTTCTTCATTTTTTTCAGTGCTTCATCATTGTAAACCTATTATTCCTTTGTAAATTTATTGGTTTAAAACAAAATCTAGTAGAATATTAGATGATACCACTAAAGTTGGTGATCTCGTACCAGAATTTTCACTGTTTCTTGTGTTTGGTAAAGTAATTTACATAAAAATCACATTTTGAATGTGAAATCTTACCTTGGTTGGAGAGGGGAACAAATCATTCTTTATAACGGTGTGGAAACCTCTCCTTAATAGATAAGTTTTAAAACCGTGAGACTGATGGCGATACGTAATGGGTCAAAGTGTATCAGAACTAGACACTAAGCGGTGTGTCAGCAAGGACGCTGGGTCTCCAAGGGAGGTGGATTGTAAAGGCTGTTTTAAGAGTAGCTTCTATATATTCATTGACAAAATTTTAATTTTTTTTTTTTATTCTTCATATTGTGAACGACGACTGTATCTATAATGGTCATAAGGTAATGAACTTCCTTGTTTGATAAGTTACTAGCCGAACGAAAAATGTAATGATTTGGGCACGGTCTCGAAGAAAAGTTCAGTGAAATAGACATGTCGATGAAGATATAAACTATCTCCACTTGGACGAAAAGACCCTAGAAAGCTTTAATAATGTTCCCTAAAATTAGGTGGAGGCCGAAAAAGGTGTTATTCTAGGGACCGAGACGCCATTATGATCATATATCGAGCCGAAGTTGTAATAATTTGTGTAATGCCATTACTTTTAATTTGATTCATATTGATTCTGATCTTTATCACAAAATCAAGTATCCTTCTTTTCCAAAACAAAAACTCTGTAAAGCTTTGAAACCAACAAGAAATGGCACCAATCATACTCTAAATTACAACAAGACAAAGCGACATGCAAGAAGCCTCTTTTCTTTAAGCTAAAAAGCCACAAAGTTAATGTGTATCCTATGAAAGGAATATTACATGGGGTAGGGAGTCCCCCACCCCCCACCTCTGCCCTTCTATCTTCCCGACTCTAATCTTCGTCGACGGGTCCCGAAACAAAGGAACCTCTACTCTTTCAGGGTTTGGTTTAGAGATATTCATAAGACTCGTGGGGCAGGATAGGAACGAGGAAACCTTCCCCATCTCCGTTCCTGCCTCTTTTTCATTTATTTTTGCAGGGAACGATGCGAGGATTCCCCTAGATAATTGAACTCAAACCCGGCTAAAGAACGTTGATTTTGTTTGTATTTTGTTATAAATATGTTAAGGGGCCAAGAACACAACCAAAAGAATTGCTAATAAATGAAAAAATAGCATGAAATAAAAGGAAGAACAAAAAAAATCTGACCAAAATCCCTTTTGTAGAATCAATTATAAAGCACTTTAAATGCCAACCATTGCTGTCACACATCGCATTATTATGATCTAAATATAATGAATCTGAACTCATTTGTAAGTAAAAGATAAAGCGCAATAGTTTGTGGGGTTCTTTTTGAAATTCATTTCTGTTCATTCACCTCCCTTTTGCCTCTTATTTAAAGGCAGCCCCAAACAATGAACACTCCAAATTATCAGCCTTACCATCACCAAATATGGCTTCCAACAACCCTTACATCGTTGCATTCTTCATCCAAATCACCTACGCCGGTATGAGCCTCATGTCCAAGGCCGCCTTTGCCTCCGGTATGAACACGTATATCTTCCTCTTCTATCGTCAAGCTGCTGGTACTCTTGTTTTGGTCCCGCTTACTCTACTCTTAAAAGGGTAAGTTTCGTTTTCAATGTTTGTTTATTTCGATTTACCAATACGAACGTAGTTCAGTTGATCATTTTGTTGCAAATATATTTCAGGAAGGAGAAGAGGCCGTTGTCTTTGAAGCATTTGTGCCAGATTTTTGTCATTTCATTGATAGGGTGTGTATTAATGTTTATCATTAATGTCCCTAATGTTAGGAATTAGGACTATCCACACCGTGGTATGATATGTGTCTAGTGAGCCTAAGCTCTCTCCGGGAGATGTTGTATTCCCTACTTATAAATCCATAATCATTCTCTTAATTAGTCCTAAAAGGACTCATTCCCATCCTCCCCTCGAACAAAGTACACCATAGAGCCTCTTTTGAGGCCTATGGAGCTCTCGAACAGCCTCCCCTTAATTGAGGCTCGACTCCTTTCTCTGGAGACCTCGAACAAAATACCTCTTTTGTTTGACACTTGAGTCACTCTTGACTACACTTGCGAGGGTCCCAACTTATTTGTTCGACATTCGATGATTCTATTGACACGACTAAGTTAAAACATGACTCTAATACCATATTAAGAATTACGACTCTCTAATGTAGGACTCCCTTCCAACGATCCTCAACACCTAATGTATATCAACTTTTTATTTTATTGAATATAGTCTCAATTATGAATTGGGTTTAGGATCACTCTAGCATTGGATGCATATGGAGTAGCGATTAACTATACGTCGGCAACATTGGGCGCCGCAGCTTTCAACTGCGTTCCTGTCACCACATTCTTCTTCGCACTCATACTAAGAATGGAGAAGGTGAAGCTAAATAAAGCAGCCGGGATAGCAAAGGTGGTGGGCATAATGATATGCATGGCGGGCGCCGCCATTCTAGCCTTCTACAAAGGCCCATATTTGAGCCCAATTTTGAGCCACCACCAACTATTCCACCACGTCCAAACCCAAACCCAAACCCACCACCCTCCCACCTCCCAAAACACATGGATGATCGGCTGCTTCTTCCTCCTCGTCACCAGCGTCTCTTGGGGGATCTGGTTCGTTCTCCAGGCTCGATTCTTGAAGGAGTACCCGCACCCGATGGAGTTCATGTGCGCGCAGACCGTCATGAGCACGGCTCAGACCTTCTTCGTAGCCATCGCCATGGAAAGAGACCCTTTGGAGTGGAAATTGGGCTGGAATGTCCGACTCTACGCTGTGCTCTATTGTGTAAGCTTAATCAAATCACGAGTTGTTGGGCTTACCCAAAGATGTAATCTTTACTTATAAATCTATGATCATTTTCTAAATTAGCTTAACATGTGGTGGTGCAGGGAGTGCTAGTCATTGGCGTGGCAAATAATGCCCAATGTTGGGTCATCAGAGAGAAGGGTCCAGTTTTTCAAGCCATGACGACGCCGTTGAACTTAATGGCTACAATAATTGGTTCCCTATTGCTACTTTCCGAAGGAATTTACGTGGGAAGGTAATAAATTACGGTAATTTAAGCTGTAAATTTTTGTGTTAAAAGTTACTGAATTTAGTGTTGTTGTTGTTGGGATGACAGTATAATAGGAGCATCGTTGCTGGTAATGAGTCTTTACAGTGTTTTGTGGGGTAAAAGCAAGGAGCTTGTCACTGCTCCAAACGACCAACAACCGTCTCCACCAATAAAACAGGTTGAAGAGTCGACATGTCGTTCTGAAGTCAACTCCACGTTAGTCTAAGCAAAAGCTGTGATGAACTTGTTCGTGATATTTAATTTCTTCTCTAAAATTGTATTTTGGTTACTAAATGCAATACAATTCTCCTATCAATTTCAATATTATGAAATGCATTTTCCATTTATCCGTATAATTATTAAGAAAAATAATTATATAGTTTTGGAAATTATGAAAAATATTATAAAGTTTAAAACTTATATGAATTTAGAATCAAAATCTTGAAAAAAAAATAAAAATAAAATTGTCCCTGCAGCAACGAACCGGCTGCAGGGGTTTGAGCCGCACGCGCGTCGCACACGAGAATACGGCTTCGGGTCGGCTGTCGGGTCGGCTGTCAGGTCGACCACGGGTTAAGTCGCGAGTCGCTGAGTCGTGGGCTGATGGGCTGCGACTATGGGCTTTATATTTGGGCCGACGATGCGCAAGTGGGCGAAAAATTGGGCCGAGGACGAAATTGGGCCGGAATTCTAACTGGGCTGATGGGCTTCAGATTCAATAATTCTCAGAAGACTGATTTATTATTACTCGGTTTATCTCAAAAAAGGGAAGAAAAAAAAGTGACACACCAAGCTTTTCTTAATTGCTGATTACTTTGATCACTGGTTCCTCTGTTTCAGTGGGTTTCTCCGGCGACTCTGTCTTCTCAGGCGGAGGCTTGTTCTCATCGGGAACTTCGACTTTGATATTGCTTTCAATTGGTCCTGCATTTTCTGTAACAGAGTCGGAAACTGGTGGCTCCGGCTCCGGTGGGTTGGTCTCAGACGGCTTCTCCTCCGTCGGAGGGTTTATTTTCTTCTCTGTTTCCGGTGGGATAGTTTCAGACGGCTTCTCCTCCGGCGGTGGGTTCATTTTCTTCTCAGATTCCGGTGGGATCTCTTCCTTCTCCGATGGATCCGCTGCTGCTGTCTTCTCCTTTTCATTAATAAATTACATCCATTTTTTAAATTAATAAATTTATTAGACATTAAAAGGGAAAAAAATAAAAGATAAAAACAGGGGCTGACAGAGAAAAGACAACCACCATTGCATTATTACTCATGTTCATCAAGATTCTTTTTTTTTTTTTTTTCCCCCTCACGATCCAAACAGATTAAAAAAAAATGTTCAAATAAATTACCTGATCATTGAACAAATGGCTGAGACAACGAGGCTTAGAATCCACCTTGTCTTCATCGACGATCTCCGTGCCCTGGGCGTCGCTGGTGCCATCCTCCAGTTTAGTTTCGGGCACCGTCTTCTCCGGAGAAGGCTCTGGCGCCGGAGCCGGAGCCGGAGCGTCGCCGGAGTCAGGCTTGAGAACCTTTGGCTTCGTCGCACAGGCTCCCATCCTTCTGTGTGTCTGTGGGTGAATGAAAGTGTATGAGAGAGAAAATGAGGGTAATGATTTATAGAGAGAGAGGGGAACAGGGATTTCGGCAACTTGGGATTCCGACAATTCCTAAGAAACAACGAAAAACACAAATAATTATGGGAATAACCTATGTATCTATGTATGTGTCTATGTAACAAAAATATCTTTTTTTTTTTTTTTTTTTTTTTTTTTTTTTTTTTTTTTTTTTTTTTTTTTTTT